ATATTATACAACATCAGCTTCAGGTGTATAGTGCAGTAATCAAGCCTCTACCCCATCCATGATGTGGTCTCCCTAGCAAGACATGTGACCATCTGACACCCTACAAAATATTTACAACATTATTAATTATATTCCTTGAACTGTCTTTCATGTCCCTGTGGCAATATTGTAGTTTACGTATTTATGCTGTCTAATCCCTTCCCCTTCTCCCAGGACTTACGTTTTCAATCTATGTCACTTCTCTCCTAGTAATACTTCTCACACATTTACCGCCTGCTACGTGTAGTATGCTTCCTTGTTTTGTTGTTGTTTGGGCTTGGGGGGTATTTTTGTCCTAATTTTACCTCCTGTAGGCTTCAAGGGGAGCCTCCAGGACTAGCTGTCTTGGATTTGATGGACAAATCTAAGTTCCACCAAAACTGAAAGTAAGAGTTACCAGTTCACTCTAGAAAAGTGAAACTAATCGCAGCCTGAGAACATTTTCTAAATAAACATATCGGTATGTGTGTTGGAAAATCTAGTATCAGAAGACATTAGTGCTTCATTTTCATGCCTATATCCTTTGAAAACTATATTTATTCACCCATCTCATGAAAGTACACTGGGATCTGGCTGTAACACTTAACTGGAATAGGACATAATTTGAGATAAGTCTCTTCTGAATTTTCATTTTTTTATGAGGTGTTATGGCCCAAATCTTATGGATAACATTACAGGAAAAACTACAGACAGCTATTACTTAAATAATTTAATCTACAGAGTTTCAGTTGAGCAATTATAACATGTTTTTAAAAAGAAAGAAGCAGCAGACTCATCTGATGTTCTAATTATAAAATGTATTCGAATATAATCAATGAATAAACACTGACTTCCTGCTATCAATAAATCATGAACAATTATTGCCTGTCTGTTATTTATATGACACTGTCTTTGTATATTGTCATCATTTGATTGTAATACATTTAATTTAAGACATTTATGAAGTGAATAAAAGGCACTTGGCTTGGTGCTAAAATCTGAAACTAAGATAAATAAAAGTCAAATAATTATGCTTGAGGAGTTTACAATCTAGTAAACACAAAAGCAGATAAAGTAAAAAGTTGCCACTAACCTTGAAGAAGAAGAAAAGACTTTGATTTAGAAATGAGAATGAAAATTGGGGTATGAACCAAGGTAATAAAAGGGAAAAAGTTGTGAAAGAATTTATACTTCCTATTCTTCTTTGTAATATGCTATTAAGTGAGTGAGGAAGAGAAAAAGTTATTATTCAGCTTGTTTTAGCTTGCATAGCAGGAAGGGTTCCGACTTAGAACCCTTTTCCTCACCAGCATTTTAAATCTAAAAGGAAATCGGGACAAGTAATTCCCTAGTAAATATTAAAACAGTTTCAAAGATCATTCATTTGGGGTGGGGAGAGCAAAGATCATTCAGCAAAGAGTAGCTGCCACGATAAAGAAAAGGGAGATCAAATCAAAAAGGTCTGGAAGAATAAAGCATTAGAAGTCTAATAGTTAATGCCTTTTAAAAAACAGATGAAAGAGAAATATCAGAAAGAATTGCCATCATCAATAGACTAGGTTTCCTGTAAGTGGGAAGGAATCAGGTGCCTGTCACTCCTTTTATTTATCTTAGATTTTTGTTTTTCCCTAAATCCACAGACTAGGTGCCCCCACCATCTGAAATTAAGGGTGTATATTCTTCTTGGAGATTTCAGTAAATATACATGAGAACATGTCTTAAGATTAACGGAAGCAAAAAGTGAATCAGAAATATGCAACATTCTAAACATATAATTATTATTTTAGAGTTATAATATACTTTTTAAATTATGATAAATTGTTTATCTTTCCCAACAACCCTACAAGGGTGTTCTTATTTTTCCTATTTTATAGACACTCTGAGATCCAGAGGAGTTTGGAAGTTGTACTAACTTCTGAAATAAACTCTGAATCTAATGCCTGCAGGACGTAAAAGTAGCCACAATGAAAGGGACAGGACTCAAAAAAATGGGAAAAATTTTTAAGCTAATCCAGAGAATATGGTAAGGGTATAGGATAGACAAGTAGGTCCAAAGAATGGAATTACATCCAGAATCACACTTAATTGGTCAATTGGTTTTCAACAAAGGTGCCTAAGCAATTCAATGGAGAAAGGAAAGTTTCCACAAATGGAGCTGGAACAACTGGAGAGCCATATTGGAAAACAGTGAACTCAACCTCTAGCTCACACCATACACAAAAATTAATTGAAGATGGATCATAGATTAAAGGTTAACACTATAAAACTTCTAGAAGAAAATATCCTCATGACTTTGGGGTAGGCAAAGATTTCTTAGACCAGACACAAAAATCATTATCCATAAGAGAAAAAATATTGATAAATTGGACTTCATCAAAATTAAAATCTGCTCATCAAAAGACATCATTAAGAAAATGAATAGACAAGCCACAGACTAGGAGAAAATATTCTCAATATATTTAACTGACAAAGAACTTGTATGCAAAATATACCAAGAAAACTTATAACAATAATTAAAAGACAAAAGTATAAAATTAAAAATAGAAAAATATACAAAAGATTTGAACAGACACTTCACAAAAGAAAATACATAAATGGCTAAGAAGCATATGCAAAAATGTTCAATGTCATTAGTCTTCATAGATACACAAATCAAACCACAATGAGATACTTCATCCAAAACATTAGAATGGCAAGAATTAAAGAGACAGACACAATCAAATATTGATGAGGGTGTGAAGCAAATGGGATTCTCATATTTGGCTTGTGAGTATACAAAACAGAACACCCATACAAGGAAAACTGTCTCCTAGTTTCTTATAAAGATACACATAAACCTAGGCTATCATTCAACAGTTCTACTCCAGGCTATCTCCCAAGATAAATGAAGATGTAGAGACTCAAAAAGGATTGTTTAAGAATTTCTTTGCAGCTTTCTTCATAATTACCAAAAATGAGGAAGGCATAAATGCCCATCAGCACAAAAATGGAAAAATAAATCATGGTATATTCATATAAGAATACTAACAATATCACAATAAAAAATAATAAACTACTGATATATACAATAACATGACCCAATCTCCATACTCTATTAAGTAAAATAAAGAGAGAGAGAGAGAGAGAGAGAGAGAGAGAGAGAGAGAGAGACTACATATTGTAAGATTTCATTCATATAAAGTTCAAAAACAAGTAAAATTATGACAACAAAAATGAGAAAAGTGGGTTTTTTTCTGGTCGGATGAGGGTGGTGATTGGCTTAAAAGGAGCAGAAGAAAATTTTCTGGAGTGATGAAAATGCTTAGGATATTAGTTACATGAGAGTACTGTATACATGTGTTAAAACTCATGGAACTATACACTTAAAATTTATATACTTCACTATATACAAATTATACCTAAATACAAATTAATTTTTAAAAATTTCATTAACTCTGTGAAAGGTAGCAATGAGCTAAGCCTAAAATACATATTCACCTCTATCAATTCCATCTTAAAGTTGGATGGAAAGTGTTGAAGGAAAATATAGGTGAATATATTATAGAGGAGTCTTTGAAATCCTAGTGTATTTCTGTGTTTCTCCCTCTTCTATGGAAATGAAAGCTATTGTTTGCTTTTCCCAAAGGAGGGATATTCTTAAGTGTAATTATCTGCCAGGGGTTAAGAAAGACATCATCCCTTCATTTCAAGCACTCAAGCAGCAACACCTAATCTTGCCCAGTTTCTCTGACTAATGTTTCAGGCAACTGGAGACCTAATTCTTCATTTGTAGGATTAATGTTGACTTTTCCAGCATCCACTGCTATACTGATTCATGGACCATACTATAGGTTCAGTGAAGGCATCCTGGCACCCCAGTCACAAAAATTTAGTTGTAAACTTAGGTTAATTTGATCAATCCCTTCAGTGTAGGTGATATATTGGAGGCTTTTAAAACAATGCATTCACAGAAGCAAACTTGAAAATATAATTTCAAGTTTAGAAAACAAACACCGTGCA